TGTGGTTCTTCTTGAAGGTCTTCGGTGAATGTTGAGAATAGAAAATGGTTCTCCGGTCTCTTTGTAACTACTTCTAGTCTTAACCATATACATGTAGGATCAAAATGCTCTGATACCAATTTGATCCGTATAGTAGTGATAAAACTTGACAACTTTCAAACAGATGTTAATGGAAAATTGAGAGAAAGTTTATTTTTGAATAAAATAAGATAGCTTCCATTATTTTCTGCCTAATTCATACAATGAAATCCTCTTATATAACTTTGAGTAGATTACAAAAATAGTAAAAAAACTAAAATAAGCAAATTCTAAAAATAACATATAAATTAATATCCTCTCATATTTTTAGTAAATTAATTACAATCATTAATCTATTTTTAATTAGATAAAAATAAAAATTATTAAAATAATTGAAATAATAATAATAATAATAAAATATCGCCCTTGATCAGCAGGGCAACCAAACACCATCAACTGAGAGTAATTAGCAGGTGAATCAGACCATACCTTAAAAGGAGTTTTGTATTCAATAATTATAGATGAAGATCTATTAACTAAGAGACAAGCGGTATTCACAGTTTCTGCCCAAAATTCCTGTCTCAAGCCTGAATGAGACAATATATTTCGTGCTTTATCATAAAACGTTCTATTCATGCGTTCTACAATACTATTCTGTTGCGGTGTCCCAACACAAGTGCAGTGTCTCATTATTCCTTCCGTATTGCAGAATTAGTCAAATACATGATTGCAGAATTCTAACCTATTGTCAGTCTTAAGACACTTGATCTTATTCTTTGTCTGCTTCTCCATCAGTCTTCCATTTGACAAAAGTTAAAGATGCATATTCCTTAAACTTCAGAAAGCATACTTAAACTATCCGAGAATAATCATCAATCATAGTTATCCTTGGTCTTGTGCGTTGCCTACTTGTTGAACTTTTCCCTGGTCTATTTCCCAAACACATAATATTCACAAAAATCCATAACTTCATCTTTATAATTGTTACTACCCAACACAGAAAATCCCTTGTCACTCATATGACCTAGATGCATGTGCCACAACTTAGTATGATTTTGATCACTGTTATCTGATGCTACAATGGCTTTCCCTGAAACAGTATTGTACTGAGTATATAATTTAGATTTCAAACTGCCTTTCATAAATACCATTGAGCCCTTGCACACTTTAAGAATACTATTTTCTGCATGAGACCTGTATCCTTGAGAATCTAGAATAGAAAGAGAAATCAAGGTTCTCTTCATCTGAGAAACATGCCAACACCCGATGGTTCTGATAGTTCCATCAAATATTGTTAATCCGATGTCACTAATTTCATCTACAGTCAATGGACTGTTATTACCCATGTACACAATACCATTCATCTGTTTATATGTAGCATACTAATGCTTGTGTGGACACATGTAGCACCAGTATTAAGAATCTAAGAATTCTTTCCACGATCAAAACTCACAGATAATACTTCTCCAGCATTACTGCTATTACTATCATCTAATTGTTGTCGTCAACTAAATTAGCAAAGTTCTTTTGCTTTTTTTTTTTTTTCTCTTTCAACTTGGGACAATCTCTCTTAAAGTGACTTTGTTCTTCGCATTCATAATAGTTTGCCTTCTTAGCTCTAGATTTTGATCTACCAATTAACTTATTTCTTCTTTGTATTCTTCTTCTATTCACCAAGTTCTCTCCTTCTGTTTTATATTTTGAGAAGTTCTTTTTTAGTTTGTTTGATTTTAATGCATTACTGACATGATCCAATAAAATATTATCATTCCCGTACAATAGAGAGTCAACAAAAGTTTTATATGATGGTGGCAGTGAACACAATACGATTAGAGCCTAATCCTCATTATCAATCTTGATATCTATATTGTTCAAGTCCATAATGATAAAATTAAATATATCAAGGTGCTGTTAAATGGGCGTACCTTTACTCATTTTCAGATAGTACAACATTTTCTTTAAATAAAGACTGTTCGTCAGCGATCTTGTAGGGTATAATTCTTTTAATTTTGTTCACGCAACTGAAAGAGAAACTTTTCCAGCAATTTCTCGCAGAACGTTATCGGTTACACTCATAAAAATCGCACATAAAGCTCTATTTTGCAGATCTGCCTTTTCTGGCTCTCTCCTTCCATTTGGAAATCTTTCTTCAATTTCCTTCCACAAACCCTATAGTATTAGTGATGATCTCATTCTAAATTTTTATAAACTGAAACTCGTTTTACTATCAAATTATTTTACTTAATACTTCGTAGATGTCATATTTAATACTTAAACTGTGCACCAAAAAAACAAACAAATATAGAGAAATAATACTGTTAGAAAAAACAAAAAAGCACTCATAGGAAGTCACCGCTGCACAAAAAACTACTGTAAGCAACCAACGGAGCACCGCACGTGCTTCCACACACCTCCACGAGCCGTCACACG